TATATATATACATATATATGGAATGCTTCCCTAGACACTTCCACCAAGGTGAATCTAAAATAGTAAAGCCAGAACACAAACATTCCATTGTAAATCATCTTCCATTAAGGTCAGGGTCAATTATTCTCAATTAGCTAGACCGACAGAATAAGAAAATAGCATGTAAACAAAGATACTCATTTCTATTAAAAGTCATAGCTTCAGCGATCCTTAATCTTGAACAAAGGCACACCTGAGAGGGATCCTGAAGGGAAGCAGAAAACACCCTGAGGGATAAGAACAAGTGTGTGAATGATGATGCATGTACTGAGTAATAGAAGATTAAGTCACAAGACTAGGTGGGAAATCCTGAGAAATTTGAACAAGAAGTTGCTACTGAATTTTAAATGTATACTGACATGTCGCTGGAGTATGGCAGACATATGCAAAATACGTGAGATATAGGATATAGTTGAAACCCTAAGAAGGGTAGCCTGCCAGCAAATTACCCTCACAGTAGAGCTATGGGAAGTGATACGGCTAGACACACAAACAGCCTCAGCAAATGCACTGCAGTTTTATTTCTAAGTTGTTTGATACTAATGGTGTCTGTGACAAGTTTTTAACAGTTTTAAGCCTCTGACCATTTTTATCACCACAAATGTAGTAAGTGGAAGCTATTGTGTCTTAGGCTATTTAGGAAAGCCGCGGACCCCAATGTTGGCAGGAGGGACAGGAGCCCATGCAGTGTGTCTTGAACCTATAGGGTAACAGCAAGGACACCTACTTCTAACACCAATCCTTCCATTCTTTAGGAAATATGTGAGGGGAGAGGAAGTGCTGATGGGACTTATTTCTTCTCTCCTCAAGTCAATCTTGTCCCTGAAATTGACGCTAGAGATAAGAAGCTGCAATTCCTGAGACAGGCAGAGCTGAGAATAGAGCCGGGGTGTACAAGGGAATAAGGCTGTCACTTCAAATCAGTCATCTTACCTCTCTGAACTTTGTGAAGTGGGGTTTCTAACTGTGCCCACCTCATAGGATGCTTTTGATAACTCAGATAATGCACACAGGGAGCCTGGTTAATGCAAAGCCTGAGTGGCAAACACTAAGACTGTCATCAAGCACAATCAAAAGGGGGAAACTAAGTAAGCAAAGGAGGAACCAGGTCTCGTTTCATTCAGATCCAGAGAATGGAATGTATATTTCTTTAAAGCACACTCATGAATGTATGAGAGACAGAGACAAAGGCTGACTAATCTATCAGGACTCCCCAATAGCCACACAATCTTCTAAGCAGCCCTACATAGTCTTGTCCTTCACTCACCCACGACAGCTTTTTCCTTTTTGAAACAGGTTCTTGGTACTTTCTGTATTCACTTTGTTCCATGGGCAAGGTGCAGGGCAGAGGCATGAAGTAGTACTTGGCTTTAATACTCTTGGCCTAGAACTTGGAATTTGAACAAGGCCGTGTGTACAAAGAAGCTGGTTACATTTCAGCATAAGTTGCTTTTTTAGTAACCAGTACAAGTCCTAGGGTTATTATTGGAGAAGTAGTCATGCCTACAAATTATTACTCCACCAATATCTCAACTCAACTTAGACATTATTATTTTACCATGTGACTCACCCCTGTAAAGCCCTTGTGGGAAAAAGCTTTAGCACATTTTAGACATGCTTTCTAATGTAGCTACCTTTCTTTACATTATAACCTTTCCCCTTATACCCTCCTCTCTCAAATAACAAATCGTCCTCAGAGCAAAGTCCAGGGAATACATCTTTTTTTTTTTTTTTGTCTTTTTGAGACAGAGTCTCCCTGCAGCCCCAGCTGTCCTAGAACTCACTATATAGACCAGGCTGGCCTTCAGTTCACAGAGATCTGCCTGCCTCTGCCTCCTGAGTGCTAGGATTAAAGGTGTGCACCACCATGCCCAGCTAATACAACTTTTAAAGGAGATAAAAGACTAAAAGGATTATTTGTAGTAAGGTATCCCTGATCAGATAGGGAAGAAATTCTTGTGTTTATCTTACTTAAGTGTGTATTTGCATTATTTTTAATTATTCCTGTCCATCAAATGGAAAAACAAGACAAAGTTTGTTTCAAGCAAGTGCTTTGACCATCCTCAAATGTAGGATTTGTAATCCTGGGGCACAGGAGAGGCACAAAAAGTGAAGAACAATTGGGCACAATCCAGGATCTAAGACATCTACATTCCACTTGTTGATTTTGTTCTTTCTTTCTCTTGACTTTTATTTTTACCTTCTCCTTTTCAAAGATAACTACTGTGTTTCTTCTAGGTCAGAAACTTGAGTGAATTTTAAATGGACACAATACTTAAGATATGTCATAAGCCAACAACAGTAATAACATACAAGTTACATGTAAGTACAGGACGGCGCTGTCAGACCCCAGACTGTTGTCCACCTGCACGGTCACTCGGAAAATGCCCACGTTCTGATAGACATGCTTGATCCCATCTTCCATGGAGCTAAGGTTGACGTAAGACACTGCAATGCCATCACCAAAATCCACTTGGATGAGTGTCCGTTGCACATCACCCTGCAAAACAACCCAGTGTCAGATAGAAGAGAGTTCTAGGGGATTGGGGCGTACACCCTGGAAGCTTTACCTCTTTCCTACATCCCAGAGCATCTGTCTATTATGATGGCTCCCTATATCAGTTCCAGAGTTTGTTAAGGATATTCTCCAAATGAAAATGGAACTGAATCCAAACTTTTCAAGGCTTGGAAAAGTAACAGTGTTGTAATAACAATTTTAAAGTGATAATTAATTGGAAGACTTTGTTAACAGTCTTACCTGGCATGTTCACAGACCACTTTCTAGGTCTTGAAGAGCCCTGAATTTCTGTCTCTATTTCCAGATCCCTAACAATGTTAGAAAGTATGAGAGGCACCGTGCCTGACACCTCATATAAGAGCAGACTCAGCATGATTATTATTTGTGAAGTGATGGTTAATTCTTTTATGTTTCAGTGCTTTGTAGCATTGAGGCATCATCATAGATGATCATGTTGAAAAGAACAGTGAGCAGCCCTCATTGTCTTCATGGATGAATTTGAAGTCTAGAAACTTTTCAGCATTTGCTGAAGGTTAACACAGAGAGTTATTCTTGAAAGCCTAACCCATTTTCTTTCCACATCCCATTCATTTTTCAAAGATGGAATTAGCACTATAAAAAAGTCACAGAAGATCCCAATCAGTCTTGAAGCCTAGTCACCATTAATAAATTTGAAGACTTCATGTCTAAGTTACCAAATCTATGAAATGGGCTATTATAATAGTACCTGTCAATTTTAATTCGTGGGGCTGTTTCTAAAGCCCACATAGTTAATAGTAATTTGTATAAAATATATAAATAAAAAAAATAATTACTAAAACAATGAAGCTGTAGAAGATCTACAATGTTCCTTAAAGCTTGATTACAATCTTATGTTTCCAAATTTCCCGCAAGTAGTCAGGAGAAGAGAAAGTCTGCATTTACACAATCCCATCCCTATAAAAAGGAAATGGTTTTTGGAATGATAATTTAGATTCTCAGATATCAAAGCCCCTTGCTTAGATTCAACTGGCAAAGGCAAGCTTCCTTCTCAGAGTCTATAACAACTGTTTTTAGACAGCCTTTCCCAATTACATATAAACAACCAAAGCAAACAAAATTCAAACTAACTAAACTGAGCAAACAAACAAACCTTTGAACTAGAAATGTATTTTATATTATGTAAGAGTTATGTGAAATTTTTTTTGTAAAGGCCAAGTATAAAATGCTGACATTTAAAGGATTAATTCACAGGAAAAGGAAAAGCAGTTCAAATCTTATGAATCTATGTGACCTGCTGCTCCAATACACACCCAGCAAGCACTATGCCAGTTCAAGGCAGCAAATGCTCAGTAGGTGTGGAGAAAAGCTCTCAGTAAGATCAGAGACAGAAATCTTCCCCTGGGTGGGAAAAAAAAAAAAAAAAAAAACTCCATTCAAACCACAACACTAACATCCAAAGCTCACATCTCTGCAGTTACTTGAATTCCCTTATCTTATGAATACAAATACCAGTGTTCTTGTTAACTTGTCCATCATGTGGACAACTCAAGTGGCCAGATCAATCTTTCTGTTTCTGGTGCATTTCAAATTCCAGGTATTCTCTGTTTTCAACAGAGTTGTTGAAAAATCAATCGTGGATATGGGCCATGGATAGGAAAAATGTTTTAAAGTAAGTGTCTGAGGTAAATATTAGAGGTGGATGTTGTTCATAGCACAAAGCAGGCAGCAGAGCTTCCATTGGAGAAAGAGGGGTGTGGGAGAGGGTACAAAGTGGTCAAAGAAGGGTAGACGGGAAAGACAGGATTCATGTACTTTATAGGTATAGAGTGGGCATCAAGTAGGTCCTATCATTTGCCAGAGGACCCGGGGAAGTTTCACATGTGGAGCTAATTCTGAAAAAGAGTAGCCACCCACACACCTAGGTAGAGTAACAATTTAGTCACCATTGTTTGATTCTAAACTCTATTGAACATTCCATCTAATATCACTTTATTTTGTTGCCTGAATTCTGACTGCTTGTCACTTACATAAACCTCCTCCCAGGGTGCTGAGGTGGCTCAGCGTGTTAAGTGCTTGCTATACTAGCATATGTACCTGAGTTCAGACCCCCAGCACCCATGTAAAAGCTGGGCACTGCCACATTTTTCCTTAATCTCAGCATTGAGGGGGTTTCAGGGTAGGGATAGGTCGATCCCTGGAGTTTGCTGGCCAGCCAGCATAGCCGTTTGGTGACCTTTGGATTCAGTAAGAAACCCTGTCTTAAATGTCTTAAAAATAAGGTGGAGGTGAAAAGCAACAGAGTAAGGCAACTTTCATTGACTCTGGTCTATACATTCTCTCTCTCTCTCTCTCTCTCTCTCTCTCTCTCTCTCTCTCTTCTCTTCTCTCTTTCTTCTCCCACGCTCTACCTGTCGAGATGTTATGATGACTTTTTGTCTTAATAGTGTTCTTTTTTTCAGTAGAAGTAGAAAATAACTCTATTAAAAAGTACTAGAGAACTAGCCACAGTGATACACATATACCGGAGACTGAGGCAGGAGAATACTGAGTTCAAAGCTAGCCTTGGTTGCAGAGTATAACTTTGTCTTAAAAACCAACAAGAGGGCTAGACTATATTTAGCTATCTAGATACACCAGGTTCTATGCTGTGAAACATCCTATATCTACTATTTGGAAATAGGGCAGTGAGACTTTAGTGCCAGAAAGTGTGCCTGCAGCAACCCCATAAATCCAAACGCTTTGCCATCATGCTTGCTGTGAAATTACTGTCCTAATAACACATCCTTCTGCATCCCAGGGGCGCATTCCTGAAGGCAGATCTCAGGTCCTGAGGCCGAACCCCACCCCTCCACGGAGTGTTGAACTTTCTGGTCTCTGCTAGAGGAGGTGGAAAATGATTTTAATAGAAGGATAAAGAAATTAAGTTATATAGAAATAAAACACAAGACAATTGTTCAAATAAAGTTCATATATGTACTGACTGGGATAAGCACTGACTCTACAATAAAGTGGATTTGAACTTGATACAGGTATAGAGTGGGATGGCTAGGCATGTTTTTTCTCCCAAAGTACCTACTCATGATGCCACTCTGTTAACTGGGACAGTGGATGAACAAATTCTTTCTCCCCAGAGCACATTTTCCTGGGCCTGCAGGAACAGGAAGCAAGATTTGTGCTGTGGCATTTGTAGTTGCTCTAATTCCTCTCACTACTTTTAAACATATTCCAAGTATTTTTTTGTAAGATTTGTTTCTTTCTATTTTTTTAATTTTTTATTTATTTTTATTTTATGTGTACAAGTGCTATGCCTGCATGTGTGTAAGTGCACCTGTGTCATGCAATGCCCTCGGAAGACAGAAGTGGGAGTCAGATCCCCTGGAACTGGAGCTATGGATAGCTGTTAGCCACCATGTAGGTGCTGGGATTTGAACCTGGGTCTTCTACAAGAAAAGTCAGTGTTCTTAACCGCTGAGACATATCTCCAGCCCCTCTTTTTATTTTATATGTGAGTGTTTGCTAGCAAATGGCATGGGTATCATATGCTCATGTTTGGTGCTCATAGAGACCAGAAGAGAGTGTCAGATCCTATGGAATTGAAGGTACCAGAGGTTGTTAGCCACCATGCTGGTACTGGGAACTGAATCCAGATCCTCTGCAAGAGCAGCCAGTGCTCTTAACCCTGAGCCATCTCTTCAGTTCCCTTAATTCTCTGTCCATGATAATGTCCTCTAAGCAGGTAACAAGTGAGAGGAGTGACTGAAATGTTCAACTAGTACATCAGTAGGGACTGTAACAGAGTCGGGTTTTTAGATATTAGGCTTATCACATACCTGAGAACCCTGAAGGCCAAGGCATGGCATTTCCCAATTAAATACATGGTAGCAGGCCTCTGGTTTTGCAAGAATGTCAAGGTGCATGCCTGATAGCTAAAGACAGCACAGAGCACTGCTGCTGCAGCAGATTTGCCTCCCAAGAGGGGTGGACTGGATCTCAGGCTGTGACTTTCAGCAGTTCTCAAGCACTTGGTAAGCCTAACACCATGGTAACTGATCACTTTGGGGTTCATCTGTTACCAGTCTCTCGGTTTCTTAGGCTCTAATTATCACCTGAAGCAGGGATGCCAACCCCTTTCTGAGAATAAGAACCACAAAGAGATGACAGGATAATCCTAGTTAAGCCAATGTCTGGGCGTGCTGGCAAGTCCAATCATTCATTTGCCTGCTCAGTCTGTGAACTGCAGATATTTACAGAGCGCCTATCTCATGTCAAGTACTAAATGAAAAAAATCCAGGGAACCAAATGACCCCACTAACAATGAAAATGTAGTAAAGACTGTCAAGACTTTATGGATACATGAACAGGAACCGATTAAAATAAAGTATTAATATAGGGGAGATAAGAAGGAACAGCTGTAAGGTGTCATAAGCTTGTGTCATCAAGAGGGAGGGAAAGCTAATCTGATTGAGAACTTCAAAGAATTCCCAGAGGAGTGAGTTGAGACCTGAAGGAAAGAGGAAATGAAGCAAATGAAGGAGAGTAGTAAGCAAGGTGAAGTTCAGGGAATCTGGGTAAAGAAAACACAGGGAAATGGATGTGCAAAGGCCCTGGAGCAGAAGAAAGATTGTTAACATCTAATAGGTTAAAGGAGAATGAGGAGAAAGAGATCATAAGAACATGCTTTACAATGGCTAGAGATGAGTAAAAGGCCTTTTAGATCTTTGGGGCCAAGTTTCTAACTGTGATATTTCCTCTAAAATCAATGGCAAGACACCAAATGCTTTAAGCAACAATATTGGGTAATGGCTTCACGATACTTTTACTTCAAAATGGTCATTGTGGCTATTACATGGAGATTGACCTAAAAATGGTCCCAGCATGCTGGGAAGCCAATGAGGGATGTTCCAGACTAAATGATGGTAAATGGAAAAGAGCTACAGCAGGAAATTATTTGTACCTCTGAAAACTAACTGATTATTTACTAGTCTTGGAATCAGTGATCC